GGGAGGCGTGAGAAGCAAAGCCCTGGAGAGGATGGAGACAGCTTCGTGGAGTACCGGGAGCTGCGCAGGGAAGTGCTGCTGCCTGTGGGCCTGGACGTGGAGGCTGTGACCTGCTCCCTGTGCTTGGATGGACAGCTCCGCATTGAGGTACCGTGTCTGGCCCTGCAGCCCGCAGAGGGGAAAGCCATTCAATCAGTGTCCAGGCGGGAGAGGGAGCCACACAAGGAGACACAGCCGCCAAGGAGGAGAAGGAGATGGGGAGCGGGAGCCAGGAGACCTGATCCAGGCAGCGGGATTGAAAACGAGCCCACTGCCCTTTTCCAGAGACTGCAGCTCTTTCTGAGATACATCACTTCCCCAGCCCTGCAATCCCACCCGAATACATCATGGCCAGCTGTCCCAGTGTCCCTCCTGCTACCGTGAATATCTCAATCTTGGCCATGGTGGACTCTGGACAGAACTCTTATACCTGGCCACAACCTGTAGAGGAACGGGACTCTTTCTTTCAATATTGCTGTATTGCCAGGTAACATTTACATTGGCCAGGTGGCAGTGATTTTCCTGAATGTCTTGTGTGTGTAATCGGTGGAAATAAACCTGTGTTTCCCACATTCCAGTTGTCAATGCATTGACTAGAAACTGTTTTTGTGTTGATTTCCAAACACGCAGGGAACTGTAGAACCTGCAGTTGTGGTCACTTTTGTTACTAGCCCCACAAAGTCTGGGGCCTCTGCATTTTGTCACAGTCTATATTTGCATATACTTTCAAATTAAATTCACTAGCCTGGGAGCAATCCCTTCCAGCAACAGGGCCAGCTGAGTCACATGACTAACTCAGGTTGCAGTGGAGCTACTCACCTGATATGGATTTATCAGCTCAGGACAAGGGTATGCAACCTACACTATTCATTCCCTATCTGGAATAGGTAGCCCCAGTGTTTGGTACAAAGCAGATGGAGCAGGGGACAGGCAGTACAGTGGAAGGAGAGAGCAGGGAGCAGAAAGTGGAGCAGCAGATTCAGCAAGGCAGTGGGATAGGAGCGCCACTTGGAGAAGACATTGCCTTTAATTTGTAGCATGCATGCTAAAGAGGCTGGCTCCAATTGCTTTGGCAATGATGGGGAGGATCTCCTGAGGCCCCGTTGTCTCCTGGGTCCGGCACTGCTTTGGGTTACACTCTTAGGGCACCCAAACGGTAATTGGTACACACAGGCTCACTGGAATGAATGTGGACTCGTGCATGCACGTATGTGTATATACACATCATTGGCATGTTCATTCACATTACTGTGCTGGATCTTGCATGGTTGCATCAGCTGAGTACAGCAGGACAATTGAAACTAATGCTGCAGTAACTCACGGTTTCTACCCATGCACAAGACTGTGTCCCTGGGCACATCCAGGGCCTGCTTGGAATATTTGTTTGTTTGGGTCTGGAGCAGATGTTCTTGCTCAGAAATAACCCACAGGCCTGCCAGGGCAGCAGCTGCCATCAATTGCTGCCTCACTTCCCAGCCAAGAGGATAGCTAAGCTGGGCCCTAGACGCTTGGCAGACCTTCCTGGCTTACATCCCTGCACTAAGCAGTGGCTTTGTGTAACACTCCCGTTTGCATCTTCTCTCTGATGAGAATTATTTTTTGGCAGCTCAGCTGCTACTATAACTGCTGGGCTCAGTTTTTAAATAGGTCTCAGCTCATAGGAAAGAAAATAGTACAGGGCACTGAACTCAGGTTTGGGTCGTGCTGTCTATTTTGCTGGCTTTGTTTACAAGTAGCAGGAGGCCAAGGCCAGGATCTGCTGCCATTGACTCAATCAGCAGGACACTGTTCCAATAAATGGTGACTGCACAACAGTTTCCATGTGGAAGATCACATCTGAAGCCTCTTTGCTTAAGAAGCCCTTGCCCGGTGCCTCACACCCTCTCCCACCCTGCCCTTGTTATCACCGTCCTTTCAGAGTTTTTGTTGTAAAAAATCCACTGGGCAGAAAATGTGTTTTCTAACATCAACTCTGGAGACGCCAGGGTTAAAAAGGCACCGTGCTGCCTGGTCCCCACTTCCTACCCTGTCATTGTTCCTTGGCTTTACAGCACAGCTCCCTATTTAGAGGAATATGACAACGTTGGTTGAGCTTAGGCCAGTCAGGGACAGGGGCTGGTTTATGAACAGCAGGCGCTCGAGGGGACCTCAGCAGAGCCGGCTCGCTATAGTGCAGGCCCACTCTGCTTTCCCCAGGGAAGAGCTTTCCAAGCACCCGGAGCAGTTTGTTTGGCAACAGCAGGTAGAGGTGATGGGCGGCATTCAGCACCTGTGACAGATAGGGCCCCACAGTGTGCAGTGCTGCGCCCATCAGATGCACCCGCTGCTTGAAAACACTGCTCTGCAGCTTCTGTCACCATGCTGCGAGTCAAGCTCTGCTCCCTCCTCAGTCTGGAGCTGTAAGGGCAAGCAACATGCCCTGTTTCCAGACGACAGGCAGGAGGAGGCCCCAGAGCTCTGATCTGCATCCACTGAACTTAAGGACCAAGGATACTGAACTTTCCCTTCAACCCCTGCCCCCCACATAAGCAGTTATGGGGTAGGGCTTTGGCCTGCTCCAGGAGAGCCCTGCATTCCCAGAGCATCTGCCTTTATCACTTCCCCCAAGCTCCTGCAGCACTCAGTGCTTCTCAGCACAGCACTGACATTGTTGCTTTTTACAGGCAGGAGTGGAGCCCTGCCAGTTGTAGGAGTTTGTCTGTAGTCACACAGGGAGTTCATAGCACACTAAGGAATTGGATCAGGCTGCCCTGCCTCCCAGCCCCGCATCCCAAAACCATGAGGCCATTCATCCTTCTTGGGAAAAGAAAAGAAAAAGAAGAGCACAAGGACAATCTGGGACCCAGCAAGCCTGGCAAAGGCAGCAGCAATGCATGGAAAAGACAGCCCCATTTATTTTATATAAAATAGCAACATAATACAAATCTTAAGGGCAGTTAGATAGTCTCCCGCATCCTCCCACCCCCACTGGCTGTGCATCAGTCTCCGATAAGTCTCAGCTCAGCTCCTGCTCCAGGACTCAGATGTTGCCCAGGCTGAGCCAGGGAGAGCAGTCAGCTCTCAGTCCCCGTTATGCCTTGGCTCTGCCATTGGCTTCCTCCTCGGAGCCCACCACAGCTCCAGCTTCTGCACTCCCCACCGAGGCGATCTGGATGGGCACATTCCTCTCCGGGTCAGCCATCAGTGCCTGGCGTGGGGCTTCAATGCGTAGCTGGCCCGCACTGGAGATGGAGCAGGTCAGGCCGTCAGGGTCTACGCCCTCGGGCACGTCCCACTCCCTCTTGAACACCTCGTACTTGTAGGAGAAGGAGCCTTTACCGTCCTCACTCTGCATCTCCTTCTTGCCCGTCAGCAGCACCTTCCTGCCCACCAGCTTCACCATTAGGTCACTGGGGTCAAAGCCCTTGACATCTTGGCACACAGTGAAGGCCCCATCTGCTCCCTGGGGCGGCGCCACGCTGGTGCTCTGCTCTCGCTCTCTGATGGGGCTACTGCTCCCTCCACCTGCCAAGAGCTGCTGGAAACTGCTCATAAACTCCTGGGCTTGCTCCATCTCCCATCGCAGCTCCCGCTCCAGCTCAGCAAAGACAGTGCTGGGTTGAGGCCACAGCGTGCGTATGGGGCCCACCCAGGGAGCCAGGGTGCGGTGGGAAGGTGGCTGGAGGTGCAGGCGGCACAGCATCTCTGCTTCTGTGGCTGGCTCAGAGCACTGGGGCTGAGTTCTCTCCGATGGTCCTGGAGCTGCTCTGCTCGGCTGGTGGGAGCCAGCAGCTTTTATCCCCATCCCGGCCAGGCCTGGGCCCATCCAGAATTCTCTGCCCCTTTCACGCCCTCGAGATGCCATCTATTTTTAAGAGGCTGATGGCTCAGGGATTACTCATGTGCCAAAATAACAACGCCTGTTTCCCAAGGCAAGCGTCACACATCCAAACAGGGCAGCAGAGTCAGTCAGGAGCTCTGGTTACAGACCAAGCTGTTGTGCTCCCACTGATAGCAGAGCTCACAAAGGAAGACAGGGGATGGATGACTGTGTATAGGGGGTGGTAGGGGAATCACGCAGCCAGCATGATTCAGGAGCACAACCTGAAGCCTTCAATTCTTTCAGACCACCCTTTATGATGCATCACAGAATTAGGGGCCATGTACCACACCGAGGATCCCTGTGTTCTATGAACTGCCAACCAAAGATTAATACATTAGGCAACTATTTTAATGTGGCCCCATGTTGCAGGCCTCAACAGGTGGTTTGTAAAGATTTCTTACCTCTTCCTCCTTTCCTACACTCCCCATCTAGCACAGGCTACTCCCACAGCTGGACCTTCCAGCTGTGGTTAATGAACCCTTTATTACTGCAGCTGGAAGAGAAAACCCTAACCCAGCAAAGGCAATGGATGGTCCATGACTGCTCTGTATGTTTCTTACCAACATGCGTTCAGCATTGGTGCCTGCCCAGGCCATCAGCAATGTAAGCAAGTGCCCAAAGTCCCCTCAGTAGGGGAGCTAATCCTCCATGGTAAAGCATCATCCAGTACTCCAACATTATTGATATTCTAGCAGCATTCCCCAGCCCTGAAGGATAAGGCCCCCCTTGCCAGGCACGGTATAAACACAGCGAGAAGTAATCCAGCTGGAGCACTTGAAACAAATGTGGAGGAGAGGGAAACTGAGGCAGAGATGCAGCAATGACCTGGCCAAGGGCAGTGGCAGAGCTGGGAACACAACAGGTCCCCCAAGTCTAGGCCGGTGCCTTTTGCCCTGCACAACCCTGCCTCTCAACGGGCCGTGGTGCATCATTCTAGCATAAAAGCTCCTTGGGGCAAAGACCCTACAGGAGCAGGCTGTGCGCCCCCTGGGCACCCAGCTGACAGCAGCTGTATTACATGGTACAACTGCAAGGATATACTTGAGAGGTGATCTTGTGGCTGCCTACAAATTCAATAGGGGGTGGCACAGCAAGGAATTGGAGGTGCTCGGTTCATCGGGGCACCTTTTAAGGTAACAAGGAAAAATGGTCACAAACTGACAGAGAGCAGATTTAGGCTAGACATCAGGAAAAACTTCACAGTAAGTGTGGTCAAAATTTGGAACGGGCTTCCAAGGGAGGTGGTGCTCTCCCCTACCTTGGGGGTCTTTAAGAGAAGGTTGGATAGGCATCTG